GCTTGGGGGAGAGAAGAGGACGAGCTCCTACTCATTCCATTCCTCGGCAATGGATGGGGGTGAGTGGTCAGCATCACGCCAAGGCCGCGCTTTACCCCAGGCAAATGAACCCGGTACCCATTGGATAGGACGCTGGGTGGGTCCCAGAGTCGGTCTGGACGCAGAAGATAGTCGAAAAATAATCTGCCCCCGTCAGGGATCAAGCCCCAGTCGTCCAGCCAGCAACTAATCACAACACTGACAGCTGATTGATCAACAAATCGTCAAAACATGTTTCTTTTTGTTGAATTATAGACAGAAATGGCATTCGACCTAGCCGAGTGTTCAATGTTTATGAAACCGGAATACCAAGTTCCCCAATAACTAACTAACTAGATGACTTAGGGAAACCGAATGTTCATCACCGAATTAACCAAAAGCCCTCCACCGGTCCCTGTAATGGGACAGCAAAATCTAATCGCCTTCAACTCCTATTTCCCGTAGATCCCGCTTGATATTATCCACCCATCTACTTCTAGGTCTCCCTAATAGGCTTCCCGACCAATACCCGGTGCACACCTCTTACCACTTCCATGCGTGCCACATGCCCCACCGATCTCAATCTTCTTCACTTAATCGCCCTGACAATATTGTTTTATATTACCCAATAAATTAACATCATCAGCATATGCCAATAGCTGATGTGTCCCATTCAATTGCAAACCCTCCTGCCTATCTTGGACTTTCCTGATGGCATATTGTAATACAAACTTAAAGAGCAAGGGAGACGAAGCATCTCCTTGTTTCAGACCGTTCTTGATGGAAAATGACTCAGATAAATATTTACCTACTCGAATTTTGCTACAGGTTTCATTTAAGCACATTTTTATTAGACTCACTAGCTTCTTTGGTATACCAAATTCAATAAGAATATTATATAACACTTCTCTCTTCACAGAGTCATAGGCTTTTTGAAATCTATAAATAATTGATGTACGGTCCCACTGAACTCTAATTTTTTTCTCTAGTATCTGACGAATGCAAAAGATCTGATCAATCGTTGATCTGTTTCGTCTGAACCCACACTGATGATCCCCAATAATTTCATTCGCATATGGAGTTAATCTTTCCAGAAGAATGTTTTATAGAATTTAGTACGAGGTTGATAGCAGACAAATTCCTCGGTAATTACCACACTCAGTCTTGTCCCCCTTCTTATGAATAGGAATAATTACAGACTCCTTCCATTGTTGTGGCATCTCTTTATTATTCCAGATGAACTGAATAAGCTTATGGATCGCCATTTGCAAATTTTTGCAACCTGCTTTAATTAATTCTGCTAGAATATGATCAATACCTGGAGATTTATAAGGTTTCAACTTTCCAATGTCTAGGTCAACTTGATCTAAACTGAATTCTGCCACTAACAGTTCAGTTGTATGTATTTTAATCTGTCTAATATCACCAGTCTCATGAATATTTACGAGTTGGTTAAAGACATTTTTCCACATATTCAAAATTCTGATTGGATCTGCCAGTATGTTGCCATTAACATCCTTTACTAAAATAGTCTGCGGTTGATATCCTTTTTTTAAGATCATTTATGCCTCTAACAAATATCTCATATTTTTTGTTTCTCAAGAGCTTCCTCCATCAAAAAACAAAACTAGGTCAGGTGATCAGGCTAAACAATTCAATTCAATTCAATTCAATTCATTTATTTGAGTGCTTGGCAACAGCCAAAAAGGCCAATAACAGCCAAGCACTAACAATACAAAAAAAATAATAAAAGTAAACATAGCAATACCTAACAAATAATGAACTAAATATATAAGTGTACAATATAATAATGATAATAAATCAATTCATTAATTTATTGCAAGATAATGAACAGTAAATGAGCTAAATAATATGCCTAAAAGTGAAACATTAAAAAAATAAAAAACAAACAAACAAATGAGCTAATTATATAAATGTACAATATTCAATTCAATTCATTTATTTACGTTTTTGCCAAATTAAATACTTCAATTCAATAATTAAATTCTTTATTTAATGTACTAACCAACAGCTGCTATAGCCAATGACAGGGCAACACAAACAAACAAACAATATATAAAGACAACACAGAAAAAGGAAGAAAAAAAGACATTAAAAACTTAATAGATAACA